CTAGGGGAATAGGCTATGAACCCTGATGCCAAATCAGTCAAGAGGAGGCGTACGAACCACACACACACACACACACACACACACACACGAATTCCCGGCTGTGGCACCAGTTACCGGATCGATTGAGTACCTTTGACGTCTGCTTCGTCCAGAGGGTGTATGGTCCAACGAACTGGACACTAGTTCCCAGTGGACTGCGGTTTTCACACAACGTCCCGCTGCCTTCCGGGTCAGGCTTTGGTTAGCCGAACGCTCCGGTAGTGAAGTTCCCCCAATAATCATCTGCAACCTGGCAATATCGTGGGCATATGGAAAGCATGTCGTTTTTACAGAGATTATTGTGCCGCGATTTGTTTGGCCATTCCTCCGAAACATGAATACTGTGTGATATAGTCTACATTGAATTCCGATATAACGAAACACGCGGTGCTTTAGGGAATAAACAATGATATTAAGCTAGCTTGTATCGTTTCTGATTACTTTTTTTACAAATATGCCGCGTAATTTGTCACGCTACCACAAAGCATATACTACTAATTAACATGATGTGTCGCAGTTCCGGGAATTCACTCATTTCTCGAGAGATAGCACGAGCTGGAGTGGATATCGAAGTACCATCATTACCTCAGTGGGATGAACAGCAGACGGAGGAAAGCCCCATAGTCTCGAGGACCTGCTGTTCAGTGATGGAAACCAGTAATCCAAACCCCTCAGGACTTGAAGTGGCGAACCGCTTAAGGCCCTCTCTTGGTTAAGCGACAGCACAGATGTCTACCAACAAAAGTTCAGACAATGAGTGCAGAGTTGGCCACGATGAGCGTAGCACTGAAATCCGTAACAGATCAGCAAAGTGGTTGGGATACACGAAACTCTCTATTTACGGGGTGATGAATGAATCACAAGCGGTAATCGAACATCATCAAACCAATGTGACATCAGGGGGGCAAACAAGCACTCACTGATTCCGGATAGACAGAACGCATTTTTGGATGGAATGAGAACTGGAAATGCTCGTTTACTCCGGGGCGCAATTGGACGGTCAAATCCTGAGTGGCCATGTCCGTGTAGAATTTGGGATCTAACGCAGATTCCAAGCGCAGAATATATTCGTGGCTGGGTTGTTGGGAGGCGGGGATATTTGAAAATAAACCAAAGAACGAAGATAACGCTCTGTCCATGAACTTCACTATCGGTCACTTTAGTTTAAGGAGCAAGAGAGGAACTGCTAGGAGAAGAGACAAAAGCGTGAGGTACTCGGAGTCCGGTTGACTCGACTATGATGACAGAAAGGGGGCCGCGTCGAGAGTGTAGGCAAACGTTTTCGTTTTCGTTTTTCGATTCCAGCCACAGTGGACACGAAGAAACAGCGGCATCCGTCAATCATTCAATCAACCAATCTTGTCCTATGAAACATTTTCCAACGGGTTCGGTCAAAAGACAACTGTAAAACGACAGCGAGAGCATGAGTTGGAAACGCCAGGAAAGGAGTCGTGCTGTATTTATAGGATTCCGCAGTCTAGATAGGATCCAAACTGAACGTACGAGTGCACTAATGTGGTGAATGGACCGAGAAGATGACACTATTCTGTCCGTTACCCCGGTTTTCCTCCTAGTCCAGTAACATCGAAAAAAACCATTTTTCATGGTAGCAATTGGTTCAAATCCATTGTGGATTCTTTGGGAATTCTCAGGAAACTTTAGGTTGTTGTCATCATTATCATTGTGCAGCAGAATACAGTGAAGTAAACATCACTGATCGCCGCCAAACCCACAATGCGTACAAGGTACGTGAGTATGTGCCCGGTGGAAAGGGACTGGGCCTATTTTGAGCAAATGAGAAAGAAAGCGAACCGCCACAGCCACAACACACAGTCTATCTATGTGTTTGAAAGCATTCTGGTTTGATAAAAAGTGATAACAATAACGCCACTGATGTTGGATGGCTGCCATGTCCTTTAGTGTCGTCAACCCAGAATCTTTTGGACCCCAGCCCGGAAAACATTTACTCTACCTAATCGCTCTGTCCATTTCTTCATGTTTTGTCTCCTCCTCATTTATTGACCTCCACGTGATTATCGCCAGCTAGAAGCGACCATTGCAATTAAGGTGCAGTGCGATAGACTACCGTTAGACATAAGCAAAACGTGTTCTAACCAACGGAGCCCATTCAGCTGAATTCGGTGCGTCCTTAGAACAAACTCAAACAGACAACTAACATTTAGATTACTAACCCACTCATTCATTCGACCACGATCAGAAACTATGTAAACATGGGTTGTTACCGCAACTCTCCGGATAACGTCTTCGACACCTAGATTCAAGATTTCAAACCCATATAAAAAACTGGACAAACTGTGACACAATATGCACGAGTTTTGAATTTCAGTGAAACGGCACGTGATTGCCACAGGTACATCAGTCCTGTGTACGCTGCTGGAGCATTGGAAATGAATGGATTATCCCTATACCTACTGCCTAACCAATTCCAACCAATTCATGACCATCTAGTTTCAAAGCGGGACTAGGGGACACCCAGACTTGCAGTATCACTACATTTTGAAGGTACAAAGCGCATTCCGAATGCAGCAACATAATTCGTTAGGCTGTCCAATGCGCTTAGTGTCGCCTTCACACAGTCGAACATGCAAACGATGTTGCAGCTAGTGACCTGTTGAACCCTATGCAGTTCCTGTTCCTATTTCGACAGTCGAGCCCATAGCAAACGGCTGTTTTATCAACAACAGATCGAATGAACCCCACACTCACCCGAATCAGCTATTCATTTGTATCGGAAAATTAAGGTTTAGGACTTGCAGCTTGAGCCCCTGTTAGGACGGAGCGCACAGAACCCATCAGGCCACACATTGACCAGCGTCACACCACAAGTGCGTTCGTGACGCCCAGAGCCGAATCGATTCCCGATTGGATGACTGAGGCGAATCAGACAGCTGTTGTCCGATCGAATAATCGAAGTGTCAAGGAAGTGATCTGATTGATGCGTCACAACGTCAATTCTCGTATGTCCAATGTACCACTTATAGTTGCGTATTGAGT